CCCATTATATATCCAACTTTCATCTTCATCATTAAACAAAAGATTGCAGGAGTAGAAAAATTATTTATACAGTGAAAATTACTTGTATTCTGTGTACCAACTCAATTCCGCTCTTCTAAATCCCAATTACTTTCACAAAAATGATAATTTTTCTTTTGTTTTTTAAACTCTAATTAAATGGGAAAATGTTCAAACACAAAACTCAAATGCTTTCAACAATCAATAAATTAGCTTTAACCCATTTAAAACTAGCTTCCATTAAACTTTCTGTGAGACTCACAAATGCAACATACAGTGATACAGTGCTTCCATCAAATCATAACTGAGATAGCAAAGTCTCTGAATAAATTAGCATATTTCAATTTATGCACATAGATGGCTAGTGTGACGAGGGAACTGATCTTTGAGCTGTAACATTGTCAGACTTCTTATTATCATTTTTTTTCTCATTTGCAAAAGGGGAAAAAGGTGTGTTAGAAATGCTGTTTTCTCAATAAATGTTAAAAGTGTGGAGCTGCCTGTTTCAAGTTCCAGTATGTGTCCACAGACATTTGCATGCATTTATGGCTTCAGTTTACATTTTCTCTGACATACAGCCAGCTAAGATAAAAGTTCATAAAAATCCTTCCACTTTTCTGGAAAAATCAGGGAGATTCCCAACACAGAGCTCTAAAAAAATTTTACAAGAATAGTCAGCCAAAATAAAAGTATTACTAACATTTAAGATTAGCACAGGAGCATCTTTTATGCAGCAAAAGCATTATCTGGGTATTTTTTAAATGGACATTTTTAAAACTGGGAGAGATCTATCAATGGACAAAAGAGACAGAAAGACCACATGTTGAGTCCATGCTTGATAGTCTGTACAATTTATTGTGAAGTACCACTTGTACTAGGACTGCCACAGAGCCATTGGTTTGAAAGGTTAATGACTGCAGCAATCACAATTTCAATTTACAAGAAATGGGATGTCAGGAAGCCAAATACAAATTGGAAATGTCCCACTGTGATGGCAGCTGAGCAACAATTCATCAACAACAGCACAGGAATATTGTAAAGCCAGAGTGCTGGGGACAACCTTTTCAGCCTGAGAAGGGCTTAAGCCTTATATTAAGCTCATTTTTTAAGCATAGTATTGAAGCTTAAAAATGGCTAAGTTACCTAATATAGACATAAGTTCTCCCTTGATCATTTTTCATATAATAGTTGTTAGGTCATCTTAAAGTGCTTATCCCACCACCTTATGTTTTCTTTAGTGTGTATCCCCTTTCATTTTAAATGCTGACTTTGAGTTCTACCAAAACATTGTTCCAAAGGCATTTCAATCATCTTTGAGCATTGCCTGCAATTATACCCTACCTCTTGCTTACTCAGAGCTTAAGTTCCACTACAATGCACTCTGAGACTTTTTAAAGTTTTCAGGTGTTTACACAAAGATGCTTTGTGAGACCCTGTGCTCCTTCTGCCTGGATTTTGCATGTAATTTGTGTACAGTGGAAAATCAAACTGATGATAATAAATCAGACTTTGTAATCATCAACTCTACAGAAACGCAGGCACATTTTACTGCTTTCTCATCCGAAGTCAGTCAGAACTACAGGTAAGCACTTTGAAGTCAGAAATAACAAATAACTGCAGGTAAGCTGTGAAAAGTTCTGTTCATCCCTATCTCAGAAAAGACATCCTAAAACTCGACAGGATTCAGGGAAATAAGCAGGAGTGAGATCCTATAGACAAAAGCTTTTCAATTAGTAGTAATGTGCTGTAGGATGCTGCTAATTTTATCTAACAGGGCCACAATATCAGCAGAACTACAGTAACTTAAGTTCATGGTTTAATTTATCCTGCTTTGTATACTTAAATTTTTGAAGAGATAGTAAGACAGGCAAATATCAGGTGAAAAGCATAAGTCACAGAGACTTTGATGACATCATGTTAAATATGTGTGCTTGTGTGTTTCATTAAATCACAAATCAGTAGTTTCCTTCTTAGTGGAATGATTAAACAGAATATCAGACTCAGAATGGCCGAGGTTGGAAGGGGTCTCTGGAGATACCTGGCTGCACATTCCTACATATGCAGGCCCACCTGGAGAGGATCCCCAGGACCATGTCCAGAGAACTAACTTTTGGATATCTTCAAGCAGGAAGATTACACAAATCCAGTGGGCAATCTGTGCTGGTGCCTGGTCACCCTCCCAGTGAAAAAGTGTTTCCTGATGTACAGAAGGAACATTCTGTGTTTCACTTTGTGCCTGCTGCCTCTGGTCCTGGCACTGGGCACTACAAAAAAGAGCCTGGCTCCATCGTTACTCTCCCTTCAGGTATTTATATATGCTGGTAAGATCCCTGCTGAGCTTTCTCTTCTCCAGACTGATCAGTCTCACCTCTCCTAGCCTGTCCCCACAGGAGATATGCTCCAGTCCCTTAGACACATTTGTGACCCTTTGCTGGACTCTCTCCAGTATGTCCATGCTTTTGTTTTACTGGAGAGCCCAGAACAGGCCACAGCACTTCAGATGTGACCTCACCAGTCCTGAGAGAAGGGGTGGTGTGGCCTCCCAGGGCTCCCTCAACCTGCTGGAACTGCCTTACCTAAAGCAGAACTGCCTTTTCTGCATAGACAGACACATTTGCTGGTTCATGCCCAACAAAGCAAAGTCAGTGTCCAGCTGGTTGGCACCCAGGGGACGTTGATACACGAAGCAGATGCACAAAGCACACAGGTGTGAAAATTTTGGCAGGATAGCACTAAGCTGGATCACAATTTGAGAAGGCAGGTGGCCTGTGGCAGGCAGAAGAGGATGATGAAGCACTGTAAGGGAGAGACAGTCAAGCACAGACCATGGGAGACATTTCAATGCCATTCCACCAAACCCACTCAAGGTATATTCAATACGTGATAGGAAAGGTGAACTAATTAGCTGCCCATAGACCTCAGGTAGACCTGTCCTACTAGTTCTCTGAAGTGATTAGAGAACTGTGATCTAGCACCATATATTGCAGTAGAAACTGTTAATATGAGAAATAAAACAAACTCCAACTCCATAAAAAGTTTGAAATAATCCATTTCTGAAATCTAATGCCTGGGCTAAAGAATATTACTTTAAACTGATTTATCTTTATAAGAGTCGCTAGCCCTAGGCATGCTTTACAGCATTTTAGTATGTAATTGATAATTTTGCAATGATATTATTATACACAAAACCACTGAAGTTCATACCCATTACATCTATCTCATCAAAAATATGTTATACCTGCATGTCTTGCATTATCATGTACTGGTAAGGAAATGAAACATATGGATAAAGATGTATTATCATGTCTTACCATCAACATTCCTTTGATGTAAGTAGAACTTACATCTTGGAACAGAAAAGGATATGAAGAGCTGGAATTCCTCTTTTCAGAAAATGCTAAAAAAAGTATCAATTGAAATACTTCCTCATAACCTATTCTCTTTCTCCATACTTCATTTTATGCAAAGAAATATCAAGGTTCTTACTTTGTGAAACTAAAAATAATTATTCTCAGAGAAACAGACAGAAGGCTTATTTTATCCACTATACTTTGTACCTTTTTGCCTTAGATAATTAGGGACATTAGATCATGATTTGCAATGCCTGGAGAATATTGTCATTAGCAGGGGAATGTTCTCTGGAACCCTGAGGAAATGAAAAGCTTTTAAGAACAATCACTATTAATCACTAACATGCCAACATTATATACTGTCTGGAACTGAGGATGACACAGATAGGACACATTAAGTGACTCTGTCTTGCTTGCATTGTAACCTTTTCATAAAAATATATTTTAAAATATCTCTTTGTATGTCTTGCTTTCTTTACAGAATGCAGGAGAGCTAAGAACTCAGCAAGATTTAAACTTCTTGAACAAGATATTGAAGATATCCTCTCTGATTCCATAATGGAGGTTCATTGTGTTTTTATTAATTCATCTGAGTAGTAAATGCCATGGGCAAGACGTCGTCCCTTTTCACCCAAGAAGGGTGAAAGAAAAACTACAAGGTGATAAATGCAATTAAATTCATCTTTAGGTTCAGTTTAGCAGGAGACATAGCATCTGCATGGCTGCAATGCTTACAGCTGAAATTATGGATTAACATTACACACTAATGATTAAAAATGTTCTATTACTCATTTTTTAATGTAACATTTCTTTAATATTTTCTATTCAATGTTAACTGCATGCAATATTCCACATATTTTTTAATTGGATGAAAGATAGTAAAATAAACAGAGATAAAAAATCTATTTTTTTAGAAAACAGAGTTCAGTACTATGTACTAACATCTGTTTAAATCGTATTCCTTTGCTGTACTAGCCATGCATGCCTCAGAAGTCAAAGCCAAGCCCAGCACTACAGGGCAGCTGTACACCCTGAAAAATGAGTCAAACTACACCCATGTACTGGGGTCCTCAGCTGAAATCCCTGCCAAATAAAACATTGGACCTGCCAGTATACATTATTAGCAAAAAAAAAAAAAAATCACAATTATTCCTAGTAAAGGGATCTAAGAAGTTTATAGATTTGTTGAACTAGTGAGAACTGATGAAGTTATCCATAGGTGTGCACCAAATAAAAAAAGTCATCTAGTGCAGTTGAAGTCAATTACTTCTTGTGACAGCTCCTGTGAATACAAAAATCAAAATCTTTCTCCTTACTGACCAAATTCTTCAGGACTCTTCCATTATTGCATCCTTAGACAAACAACCTCAACACAACTTTCAGTTTGTCTTTGAACAAAATCCTGCTATACTAAGTTATAATTATTTTCTCTTTGACGCTTTCTATTTTGTCTGCATCTTTTCTTCTTGACTTTAGACCAATTGTTTCTGGGTGATTATTTCCTCATCTGCTCAGACGTGCAGTATTTAGCAACTGAATCTCATGAGCTGCACTGCTAGTCACTCTTACACAGCTGAGATTGCAGTGGCATATCCTGTAAACAGATTGCAAATTCAAAAAGGAAGTGCTTACATTCTTGAAACCTCTATATAAGATCTGAAGTTCCTTCTTTGTGAATTTACTCTGTGCTTCCAGCAGTTCAAGAGCTTCAGGTCTATGTCGTACTGTGGCCATTTCCATTTCATCTTCTACAGTGTCTGCAGAATACAAGAGACAGAGAAGGAAAGCTCAATAAGAAATACAAGAGGTAGAAATACTTAACCCTTTCAAAAAGGCAGGGAAGAAAAAAGGAAAGAGGAAAAGAGGGGAAAGGTGAAAGAAATTCTCTTAAAGACTTGTTTTTGCAGCTTGAATGACAAATGATGAGTCCATTTTGAACTCATAGGAAACGAGTGTCTACCATCTGCTTCTGTGGCTGCAAAGAATAGTGAACAGCAGTGATGATCCAGTAGTCTGCATATTATCTCATGAGTAGTTACAGCCATATACTGGAAAGCCAACATCCTGCAAGAGCATGCATGATAAATTCAGTATGATTTTTCTGTTTATACAACTCTGACCAAAGGAAACAATTTTATAAAACTATAGTGACTCCAAAAAGCTGAAATTTTTCCTTCAGTTAAGGGATGTGAATTCGCTGTATCAGACTAGGATTTTTATTGTGAAATTGTCCTTTGGAAAGCATGTGAAATTGATGTTGCACATCCAGCAGCAGATCTTGAGTATTGTACAACTTATCTTTTAGGAGAAATATTATTGAGGGTGAGCAGCCTAAGTAGGGAACATGATGGTTTTAGTGACCTCTTCTTTAGGTAAGCAAGAATGTGGATATACACATTCAAGGTTTACAGTTGAGTGTAGCCCTAAAACAATGAGAATTAGTAATGCATTTTTTTCCTACGTAGAATTTTAAATGTGAAAGTTCAATAAAACAGCCAAAGGAACTTAAAATAGGGTGCCAGTCACTTGTGATCAAAAATACATATGTGTGTATCATTTTCTAAGTACTACCAGCATTAAATGTAACTTATGTAGTACTCCAGACTGATTTTATGAAATTACTGAGTTACACGAACTGTAGAAATATAACAATACAACATGCCTAATTGTCACTTCTACAGTGCTGAAGGTACATATTTTATTTCATTTATTTAATCTGGGACTCTTTATTCTTAGAATAAAGTTTTATTTCGTTCAATATTCACAAGCATACAGTATTAAAATACTCAAAATCGTATTATGTCTAAAGTTTCATATATTTTTGTTCTGCTATAATGCAGTAATAATAGCTTTCAGCTGCTTGGTAGAAATTTGGCATCAGAAAATACAGTTCAGCTAAACAAAAATTAAACAACCTTTAAAGAGATATTTAATAATATATAAACTATTTGGAAAAATCTTCACAGAATTTAGGTTTTTATCTTTTCTCCTGTGAACAGTTTTGCTTCTAGCACTCGTCTCAGGAAGATGATCTCAGAGTGATCCAGATGTTTTTTTTTGTTAACTGCAACTCAACACTAGATACTTCAACTAAATCGGCAAAAAATCAATCTGAGAATAAATATTGTTGAAAGCTCACTTGTATTTTATATTCAAATGGTTACATGGAATTTAAATGGGCTTTGATTTTAGACAGAAAAAGACTTAACTTGAAATTAGTTCTCTCAGTATCCATTTTTAAAACATCTGGCTACCTGGGTCTACAAGCTTTTCTGGAAGCTAAATGAATATACATAATAAATGTGAGGCTAGAGATACAGGCCAGACAATGTGCTGAGCACAATATTTGGTATATCCTTAGTAGTAAACATTTGTATTGTGTTTAAATGATTCAGTGAGAATCTAGAGGACTGCAATAAGCTGATGATATGAATGAAAAAGTTCAGTATAACATTCTTCTCACTCAACTCCTCTAGTGTCTTATAGATAGAAATAATAAAAATCTAAGACCATCATAATCTTCCTTAAAATGTACCAACTGTGTTGACTAAAATGCTATAGCATTCATGAGTCATTTGCAAGTTTTTAATTTTTTTCTTCACACTTATAACTACGATGCTGGAAAAAAAATCTATATTTTAAAATATGCAGAAAAATGTGTGAAAATCTATTTTTACTGTTTCTATTTTTATCTCTTTCTAAACAATAATGATTTCTATGGCTGTAGTTATTTTAGTTTTCTTGGTTTCTTCAGCCTAGATAACTTAGAAATACTTTTTTTTATAGAAATGAAATTTCATGCTAACTGAAAACCAGAAACAAGTTCAGAATCCCTCACTAATGTACTAAATAAAATATTCTTACTGGTTTCATTAATTAGTAGATTTCTTATAGCTAAATAGTAAAGACATTTTTTAATGTAAATGTCACAGGAGATATGCTTTTAACCTTTCATTATTCATTAAAGAACAAAATGGTAAAAACATTGCAAAAAGCAAATGTACTCTTCAAATAATTCATATCTGAAAAAATTGTGCACATGCATTTCCCTGCACAAACTCCACATTATAGCCTCCCTAACTATTTAAAAACTATTTAGCATGTTTTTCTTTTTCAAAACCATTGAGTGTAGTCCTACCCTAGTGTACTAGCACACACATGTATCTAGGGAATTATGGTTTTAAGTGTAGACTTAGTAGACTAGAGCACAGAAATAAGTGTTCTTTTACATGCTTTCTTCAATAGGAATGTTGAAATATATTCAATGCAAATGCTGAAACAAGATTTTACATTTTTAGATAGCCTTGTAAGCACATATTGATAGAAGTGCAGAAGTGCAAATTCAAGCTATGTATATTTAAATACATTACTTGTTTAAAAAATATTTCCTTGATAATTTCTAATGAATTCTCATCATGTAATTGTTATTGCAGGTGGTGTTGTTTTCATTCCTAGGACACTATAATGTTGCTTTTTCATGCTAGCAGAAATGAAATAGCACATGATATCAAAAAGGAATAATAACGTATATCTACAATGATAGTCTTATTCGACATTTTCACCTGATAGAACATTCTTACTTAATATAGCACTTCATTATTGAGGAGATTACAGAGAAAAAATATTTACTGCAGCGTTTTTACTGCTTGGTTCTTAAATAGAAAATATTTAATAGTTCGACTTCTCTTCTGGTTCATAGAATGCTTTCAGTAAGGAAAATATAAGTTTGACATGGTCAAGGTTTCTGAGACTGACTCTAAATATATTTGGTTACCTGTGCAGATGAAGAGTTTACATAGAAATGTGCAAGGAATAAGGATGTGTCACATTCCCAAATTCAGACAAACAGATCAAACTTTCTATTAATTCTGTTCTATTTCTCTATTCCATGCCCCATCCCTGGGAGTGTTCAGGTTGGACTCTGAGCAATCTGGTCTTATGCAGGAGGACTGGCCTAGATGATTTTAAAGGTCTCTCTTCCAAATCAAGCAAACCTGTGATTCTCTGATTCCTTTTATTGTCTAGGGCTATGCTGCTCAGGTCATGCAGCTGAAAGTAACTTACCCAGAAGGAGTTATTAACAAGTGCCACAACAGGAACTGCAGTTTTTAAGCTACCTTATTTTCAATTAAAACATATCAGCTGAAGACACCATGAAAAAAATAAATCCGTGTGTATCCAGAAACTTAGCCCTTTTCATCTCAAATACTTTAAAGGAAAGTAGGTTCCAGAGTTTTCTCTACAGAGGAGCATAAGAAAGACAGTGAAGGGGGATAACAAAAAGAAATCCTAGATCTATACCTCTGAAGCCGTGACATTTAGCAGGGGCCTGTATTACTAGTCAAGTTGCCTTTGGCTGTCCTGGATTCACTAGACATGGGGAACTGCTCTTCCAGGCCTTTTCTGCAAACCTGACATTGATTGATATGTTTTATCAGAACAGCATACAGGAAACACATGGACCATTCAGCTTCTGGTTTTAGGTGCTCATATTAATGCCTAGAATTAAGCCAAATTAACATAGATTGAGTTGGATCCAGAGAAATATTTTAAAATCTGCTATAGGAGCCAATTTATATAGGAAGACTTTATAGTGTTATTACTATAATTAATCTCTATTTAGGAATATATATGTATCTATGTATTGATCTCTCTCTCACTCCCTCTGTCCCTCTGTATTTACCTGTTACCTACCCTGGAGAGATTTTATTTCCTTACAGCATATTAAGATGTCCAGTATAATATCAGTGTGTGTTTCCTGTATATCCACATTCACGTACTTTCTTTTCAATCTCATTATTATTTTTCTCTCAGACACCAACTTTAAGTCCTGTTCCCTAAATAGTTTGAAGTTATATATTCAAAACCTGCAGGAACAAACCTTTTTTCCCAGACCAGTTATGACAGTGCCCCCTGTGTATTGCATAGACGCACACACAGACACGTGCATAAAAATGCAAAAGTTACTATTTTTCAAATACATGGAGAGCATGTATAAATTTAAGCAGGGAATCACTTGTCAACTAACTTGCAGATCATAAGTGCCAACCTAGCAGTTCCTGTGTGGCAGATCGTGGCACTGGTATCTTGCCATCCTACTCTGCATAGACAAATCTGTTCATCACCAGATTTTAAACCTCAATAAACCATATGATTACTTCAGCAGATATCCTGCCTCTCAAATGAGCAGTTAATGAAAGTATAACTTTTGATGCATGCAAACCTAAAAAAAAAACCAAACCAAAAAACAAAAAAATTCAAATTAAAAAAAAAAGAAAAATAAAACTTGCTTTGAGTAACAGGAGATGTCGTTTTGGCAGCCGAGCAGGGCAAGAGCTTCATAAGTCGCTCTTTAATGCTGCGTTTGGTACTGTTCTGAGCGTAGAGGAAACCTAAAAAATATATCATCAGGACTGTTAACATAGGCTTGAGAACAATTTCTGTACATGCTGCAGAGTTCATCATTAGAGCAGAATCCTGATGGGAAAAGGCCAAATAGATTGCAGCCATCATGAATCGCAAAGGGCAACCAGAATTTTTGAACAGGACAACAAAATTGTTTTGTCTTTGTATCTTTCCAGCATCCTTCCAATAAAGGGGATTTGTTTGTCTGTGTCCATCTCTTGTAATATTCTTATAACCCACCTTAAATCATCTAACAGAGAAGTGTCAGATTATTTGAAACAACAGAAGGTAAAAGAAGGCTTGTAAAAAATTTAATGCTAAAATATTTTAAAGACTTTCAAGTCTATTTCAT